TTTAAAGATTCAAATTGATACTTGATTCATTCACATCGTTCCATTCCATTGAGGAGATATTGTCGATTGGAGACAATTTTTTATGGTCACTGAAGGAGGCAAACCATTCATCTAAATCTCGGAATAATCTGCGAAAAATCTTATTCATTAATCATATTATTGAATTAATCCCATTATGTGTAGATCGCTGGAGAACAACGAAAACGTTCCAACCGTTCAAACGAGTTGGAATGTTTTCTCTCTCCTTCTTCTCATTTTCTTTCTCACTCGCACTCGTTAAGTTTGGCGGAGGACGGGCACGTACCAACGCGATGGAGAAAAAAAAACGCCCCCCCACTCTGCGCCGTTATCGACGCTCTCACACGCTCCCTGTTTTACTTACAGGTACGTACTCAAAATTAGTTCTGCGCCACCGCTACGAAATTTTGCGGTTGAAGCGTTTCCATAGGCGCTAGCAATCTCCCTTATAATCTCTGTGATAACAATCCAAAATCCGGTGAACGTGAAAATGATTATTGTTCTGCGATGCCGGTTCTCGTGCAGATTGGCCTCACGTCAGCGCGCTTTTTTGAATCAATCCATCAACTTTTAGAACAAATTGCATTTTCTTGTCTATTTTTTTATTTAACACAAGGAGATTTGAAGATAAATGCGAAAAGGCTAAGGGGGTAATCACTCCGAAAAAGAGTGTAGGGGAGAGTGGGGTAAAATGGACTTTTGATTTTTTCAAAAATATTCATAACTCAGAAACAGATTTATCAAGTGAGCTCAGTTTAGCTCATCACAAAGAGGAATCATTGTTCTTTCAATTGAAAAATAGAATTATTCCATTTCATGAACAATTCAATACGTCATGAATATTTCAAAAAAAGTCGTGTCCATTTTACCCTGCCCTCCTCTACACTAGATTTCAAAATTTTAAAGATTTCTGAGGTATTTTTAGGACTTCAAGGGAATTCAAGGAAATTCAAAGGATTTCAAGGGACTTTAAGGGAATTCATAGAATTTCAGAAGATTCGAAGCGTTTGAATCGAGTAAAATGCTGGTTGACATTGAACGATCAAAATAATAAATCGTCGGATAAGTTTGACGCTGGAATGACTAATAGAGATGTTGAAAATGTTATGTTGCTTCATGTGTATAGAAAATAAAAAGAAACAGAAAAAATCGATTATCGGAAAACTTCTGGATTTCTCATATATTGCTGGTAAAGGCAAACAATTGCAATACTTAATGTCAAGCGCAACGCAATGTTGGACGGAAAATTTCAAAGGTATCATGTGTCGATGTTCTCCATGGTAGGAGGTTGAGAACAACCAGCTCGTAGTGAATTCAGAGAAACCGTCTTGGTGGGATCTCAAAACTTATGGATGCCCTCTTCCTCGTCCATCCCTTACGAATGGTTCACCTGAATATGATGCAAGTATTATACAAAGAATGAGGGCTATTATCAAGTAAATAAACACTCAAGTTACTATTAATGTACTTGTATAAGACAAGTAATCTCTTCAAAATATAATAAAAAAGAATATTAAAATTATTTTAGGTCACATACACTCCTTCATTTACCTTCCCCTCAATATTTTTTGATGAATTCGAAATAGTATTTCAAAAGATTCTATGGGATTTATAAATTCCTTCTCAAAATTCCATGAATTCATCACAATTTCATGGAACTTCACGGGATTTCACGAGATTTATCAAGATTTCATGAGTGATTACCTTCTCGAAAACGGTATTTTTGTATGAAAAATTTGATGGTCTACAAAAATGATAGTTTGAAATTTCAAAATATGAACGATTAATTTTTTTCTGAAATCCACATCCATTGCTTCATTCATGATCGTTATAAACATATTTTCAAAAGGGCGAGTAATAGAGAAGATTATTAAGGAATTCTATTCGTAGGAAATTCTATAGATTTACTCTGCAAAATATTTTCGAACAAATATTCGTTATCCAGTTTATTACAAAAATCTGTAATTGATAGTAATAAATGAAGGCGATTTTCACGATCAATGAATTATTTTTTATTTTATTCTTTAAAAATATCACGTATATCTACGGAGGCTACTGGTTCATGGTGCTTATCAGTTTTAGTTTCGCTCTTCTCTGTGGATCTAGTGGCTTTATCTTCTACAATCCCTTGCGTCCATTTCTCAACAGCTTTTTCATAAGCCTCTGAATCTGGCAGTCCACTTTTGGCCAATTCCTTGTAGACGCGAAGAAATTTTTGGGTTTGAGATTGGGTGTCTTGCACTTGTAAATTCATTGTGAATCTGCTGTGCTCCTTTTGAAATTTTCTGAAGAAAAACAATCGGAATTGTACGGTGAACAACACAATTCGAAATTCAAATGGGAAGCCTAATGTTCAACATTCACTCATTGAAGATTACAGAATCATTATAAACCAAGACGGCAATTACTCCAAAAACAAGTGTACCACGGATTCTAAGGCTATGAAATTTAAAAAATTCTCATTTTTTTGGAAACTCCAAAAAAACATAAAATTTTCCTACGCGGAGAAAAAAGTTTATACTAAATTACTATACAGTCTAGGTAATCCAAGAGCGAAATGATATTTCAATGGTGTTGAAAAATGTGAGGCAAAGGATAAATTTTCCCTTCGTCAGCGTAATTTCTCCCACAAACAGTAAAATTCGTGAACTATTAGTGAAGAAGTGCCAGAAAGACCGATAAATTTCACCGTATTTTCATCGATTTTTCACAGTACACCGCTTAGTAATTGTTTACTGTTTTTTCCTGGTTACTTTCCGGTAATTTTTTTCTCAGTGTAAGAATCCATGAGATTTTAGACTTCGTAGAAAGTTCGTAAAATTTCAAGATATGCATTGAGACTACAACATTTCGAAAAGATTTTTGAAAATTAAAAGAATTCCTTAAGCAGGAGAAACGGTAGAGATACTTCAAGTTTCCTTTGCCAAATATTCATGCGTGTTCAGTCAATTGAATACCATCTATTCAGCCTATCAATATTGAAAAAATGAAAAAAATACTAGGCAGGTCAAAAATATTGAAGCATTGACTGACACTTTCTATTGATAGGGTGAACCGAGCAGTGTTCGAGTACATCCAGTGATCAAACTAATTTACATATTTACCGTTGAACAACTGCTTTATACAGTGGAATGGAACTTTTGTCCTTAAAAATTTTGATGAAATCTTGTGGAACGTTCCCATATTTCAGTGATTACCGAATCTTGTTCCTTCAACCACTTAGATGTAATGACTTTAATTTGTTCGAACACTGGATGGCTCACCCTTTATTAGCTTTTCGGTCATTCAGGACTTCTCAATTATGATGTCAATTTTAATCGACCTTGCGACCACTGAAGAGGAAAATGAACTCAAAAACTGATTTTGTTCATGAATAAGCCTATGCTTCGACTAATTCCGCGAGACTCTTCAGGGTTCATTTGTTTCGGGCCGTCTCAAAACATCTTGATAAATTCAAAATGAGATTTCAGAACATTTTACGTGATTTCTAAGTATTTTCAAAATAGTTTTGAGATTTCAAAAAATTCCAAGATTTCGCAGATTTTAAAGATTGCAAAACTTCAAGAGACTTTTTTCAGAATTTCATGAGGTTACTCCCGCGGTATAAACACAGTTACAACTCCATCTCCAAAGTGAAATCACTTGATTAAATACTGAATAGAAGCACAAAATAAAAAATCTCTTCTGGCATTCATAAAATTCGAAAACTAACTGGAAATCGGGATAATTCGAGTTTCAACTGTTGCCTCTCTCAATGATAATCAGTTCTTTGACATTCAAATTTCCTTACAAAAAATGTTCTTACGCTCTAACAGGATCTTCCTTATAAAAAATATCTCGAACGGGAATATTAGGTGCAGCCCTGTCAAACCTAGGCTCCAGTTTGGGTGGGAATGCCTCGTAGAGATCGAACCACAGGGGTCTGTCCTCAGGTCTCATAGCTCGGCCTTTTATCAGCGAGGAAACCCTAAAATTCGAATGCCATCAATGAATCTCTCCATATCATATTTTCAAACTCCTAAAGAATCCTCAAATCTTCATTTCGACCCTTGAAAATGATTATTTCTCCTCAAAAATCATTAAATCCGTCAATAGAATTTCCTAAACTCTCGGCAGCATTTTGGAGCAGTCGATTTCAAGCAATAAACAAGAGGAGACATAATTGATCAGGGAATTCATCCAACAAAAAATTTCTAAATACCTCGAATAGATGGTTCCAATCCTTTCGAGCCTGCTTTGAGCCATTTCTAGAAATTTTCCTCTGTTTTTCGGTTTTTCGTCACCAATTATTATCGCTTGTGCCTTTTGATTGAGCGGAGACCAGTGCAAACGGCTCGCCGAAACTTCTCCCGAGTTTTACTAGACGCTGGACCCAATGAAACAAATGTGGATACATTCAAAAATAAATAATAATACGATATACATTAGGACTAAATAAATTATTCGTTAATAAGGTTGAAAAGCAAGAAAATATTGTATTCAGTAATGGAATAATAAATTGTGAGAAATTCGCGATCGCAACTGTTACGTTCCAAGCTGGTTCCGTTGAACAGATGGCAGGTCCAATGCCCGTGGAGCGCTAAAGCACTCTGCTCCACAAGTGCGGGAATTTTCGAATAAAAATAATTGAACACGAACACCAATTTAATTAGATAATCCAATCGAAACGTTTATATTTACTTTTCAAAATTTAGAAGATATTTTACAACAACACTTTGGGTTTTTAAAACTTGAGAAGACGATAACAATTTCTCTCGAACTTCTCGTATCCACGTATGGGGTGGATCTGCCCTTACTCTTACTCTAAAAATTAGTCTAAGTGTCGAAGATGAAGGGCTCATCCCACAGAAAAGAGTAGGGGACCAATCGTGGCCTTGAATCCAGTGAACAGTGTTGGTCTAACACCCCCGCGATCGCTCGAGCTGGCCCAGCCCCAACTCTCGAGTCTACGTGACTTGAACAAAGGGCCTTACATGTGGTTTTTCGGGAGAGACAGAAAATGCTTGAATTTCACCCGGGGAAAATAAACTGTCTCCAGGAAAAGGTTTTACGACTCGAACGGTTTAATGTCAAGCTAGAATTGCACTCGAAAACTCTATATAAAAAAAACAATACAAAGGATCTTTTATTTTTGGATGGCCAGAGCTACGTCGAGAGACTCTTTAGACTTATTACTCGTTTCCTGTTTACGAGTTTCTCGAACTTACTTTCCAAAATTCTATATTTTCTTGTTTCCAAAACCGTGGGAATATTTCAACTAGCTTAAAAATAATATTGGATTTATAAAATTATCAGATAAAAATATTTGAATCTCAATGGTATAATCTAGTGGAATAATGGTAGTCATAGGGACTCTATATGGTAACTAGTGGTTTACGCGACACAACGTAGATGTGGGAGCCACCAAGTGGTCTCTAAACTAACTACTCTTGGGGGGCAACCAATGAGATCCCTCGGAGGGAACCAATGATGGAGCTCAACCAATGAGATCACTGGATTCTCTTTGATCTCATTGGTTGCCCGTCAAGAGTAATTAGTGGAGAGACCACTTGATGGCTCCCAGATCTACGTTGCGATCGCGAATAACGAAATACCACCAGAGATTATAAGGGAGATCTCTCACGGCAAAGTAAACGTTTCGACTTGATTTTTTCGTAGTGGTGGCGCATGAACTAAATGCGAGTACACTTTTGTTGGTAAAACAGGCAGGTATATTAATGTCGGGATTCCCCCCCTGAGTGAGAAAGAAATATGTATCGTGCTCGCTCCCACTCATTGTCGTCTCCGTCGCGTTGACACGTGCCCGTCCTCCGCAAACTTAACGAGTGCGAGCAAAGAGGATAGACCTGAGTAGAGGCCCGGATCGGGGGGCCTATTCTCAAAATATTTCCGTACACGGAAGTGGCTTCGTAGACGAATTGCGTGTAGCAATCATACAGGCGTTCCGTCAACGGAGTCGATTCCGCGCGCACGGAAATATTTCGAGAATAGGCCCCCGGGGGGTTTGACTGACTCCAAGAAAGTTAGTTGGTACGTCTAGTTACTCCCAGAACTTATTTTGACGAGTGAAAATAAGTTCTGTGAGTAACTAGACGTTTGTTGCTAGAGGTTGAATTGGGTCGTTCATTTCGATCCTATTCTCCCATGCAATCCAACCTTACCAGAAAACGTCTAGTTACTCCCAGAACTTAATTTGACGACTGTACACTGTTACGTATCGAGCTGGTTCCCAGAAGTGTAGATGGCAGGTCCGTTGCCCGTCGAATCACACAATTATTTAGTTGAACCCTGGATCTTGATTATATTATTTGTTTGATATATTTGGTTTTGTTTAACAACAAAAGAGTTTGATATTGGAAATATCAAATCAGTTTGACGTTCAAGACGTATCTGCCTCTTAACGTTACTCTCAAAATCACTTCAACTTCAAAAAATGAAAGTGCAGAAAGGTGGGGGAGCCATTCCCATTGGCTCAAACGACTATCCTATACATTCTAGTAAATATGGTGACTATTCTAGGGACCCTAAGTCGCTACTAGCAGTTTACGCGACAACACCGACCCCCGCCCCCCTGGACGACGACACGAGTTGCTAAGAATAGCCGAGAATGAAAACCCACCTTAAACTTATTGCAAGAGTTTTGACGCCAACGCCGGTGTCAATATTATTTTTGTATTAAATATATGGAATAAAAATTCATTAATTCTGCTCCGCATTCCTGAAGTGAAATTCGTCATTCTAAGGTAATAATTCATCATATTCGTTCACAATTTTTGGTTTCCTCGATTGAAATAGTAGCTGCTGATTGGTTAACCTCTTTTTGCACAGTTAAACGTAAACGATTACGCGATCGATACAAAATTATTTTTTATAATGATAAGTATTTCGTAGTATCCATGGTTTCTGGTGCACTCAGGGATGAGGAGGATCTAATTCATAACTTTACTAAGGTTGGTGATAATTCTAACCTATTTTGTCTATCGTTTTTATTTCTAGCGACCATGGATATCCGCCCGAATAACACGATCTACATAAACAATTTAAATGAAAAGATCAAGAAAGATGAATTGAAGAAATCTCTTTATGCAATATTCTCACAATTCGGACAAATAATGGACATTGTTGCTATGAAGACCTTGAAAATGCGTGGACAGGCTTTCGTGATATTCAAGGAGATAGCAAGTGCGACGAATGCGTTGAGATCCATGCAGGGGTTTCCATTCTATGATAAGCCAATGGTAATTATTAAGTAACAATAAAAAAATTTCAACTCTTTTTTTAGAAATTCAATGGGAACAAAATTCTTCAAAGAACAATTCGATCAATTCCAGATTTTCATTGTTATTAGATATAGAATATCTAGCTTCCAGATATTAACGAACTTCATTCTCTGTATCACCCGAGAATTTTCAAATGGATTATCAGACTTTAACGTATAAACTTTTAGGAATTAGGCAATTATTAAATGATTAACAAGTAATATTGTGAAAAATCGGCCGAAGATTTTTCTCTTGAAAATTTTCTTAGCCAAAACAAAATTTTCCTTCTTATGGTATAAAACTATTTGTTCTTAAAACCAAAGCATAATTTGGCTACAATGAACTTGTAAAAATATATTTTGTGACATGTAAACCGAATTCTATATTATCTGAGAAACAGCAAGTTTTGCAAATACATTCGCACAGGAGTTATGACGCAAATACAAAGCTGAGTTATTGAAATGAAAAGGAATGTAAAATTGCACCTATAAACCGTTTATTTAAACAATCAGCACGAACTGGTGCAGACAGTACATGAGGTTAATTAGATTAATACGGAACTAGACCAAGACTTTCAACTTTCAATAATAGGAAATTACTTTTGTACTAAATTAATAATCAATATAAACGCTCTATTAATCCCTCAAATCCATGAGTTTCTGAGATTCGTAAATACTACACTCATCCCCGTTCTTCACCCCTTCGCACCGAATTCACTTTCCAAACTTGAGGCTTGAATATGTTAAAAATCACATGCACTAAATATGGTCAAACCCATTGTCCAATTGCTAACGAATCAAATTGTTTATACCCCCACGACTATTGGAAGCGATTTCGGTCACGTGCAAAAAGTATCTTAATTTTAACATTTTTTGCCTCTTCCAGAGAATACAATACGCAAAAAGCGATAGTGACGTAGTGGCAAAAATGAAGGGTACCTACGCAGAAAGACCGAAGAAGCCCAAGAGAGTGCCAGCTCCAGCTGACGAAGAAGCAAAACGAGCCAAAAAACGCGCCAAAGATCAGAAGCACGTACAAACTACAGGTTATCAACCCGGTGTCCAACAGCACCCAGGATTGATGAATGCTGCAGTGCCAGAACAACCTCCAAACCAAATCCTCTTTCTCACCAATCTACCGGACGAAACAAGTGAAATGATGTTGTCGATGTTGTTCAATCAATTTCCCGGCTTCAAAGAGGTTCGACTTGTTCCAAATCGACATGACATCGCCTTCGTGGAGTTCGAGAATGAAGTACAATCAGGAGCAGCTAAAGATGCTCTTCAAGGATTCAAAATTACACCTTCGCATGCTATGAAAATATCATTTGCTAAAAAATAATTGGTCTTTTAAATTTTCTTTCAATTCTACGCGGATTGTCTCGCATCGGGACAGAATAGTATTTTTTTCATTGTCTATTTCTATTTACATTTTCATCAATTGCCTAAATTCATAAAAATGTGTTAATGTAAATAATTTTAAATAAACGAGTATGGGAGTAATTGTATTTCCACAATTGAGCTGAACCAACCAGTGTTCAAATCCGTGCAGTGATCGAACTAATTTACACATTTATCATTGAATAATGCAATGGAACGGAACTGTTATCTTCTTTAAAAACTAATATGATATTCATCAATTGAAAGCCAATCCTATTTGATCACTGGTATACGACTACTCTTACTCGTTCAAACACTGGACAGTTCACCCTATTAGAATTCATGGGAATTTATTGTACATCTTGAGCTCTGAAATAAATTCGAATAATGATATGTCAATTTTTGTTTGTAACTACCATGTGAACCTTATCTCATTCGTTTCTTCATTTCCATATATTAAGTTGACTTGAATGTTATTATTCAAGTTATTGGTTCGACCCATAAAAGGGTCACACCTAATTCCAGCAACCTCTACCGCTCACACCCCAACCCAGCATCGAGCGACCGGCACTGATTTTCTTGTTGTGTACTTGTACCAATTCAAAATTTTTTTTTTAAATTCATCATTCTGCAGCGCTCCGCTGCTTCGAAACACTGGGCGACAAATATGGTTCCATCATGAAAATTGGAATTTTTCATTATTTACAATTGTTGATGAAGCTTGAATATACTCTAAGTTGATATGTCAATTTTTTTTCATTTTTTTGTAGAAACGCTCCTAATTAATCCTCTCAAATTTTTCAACGTCGGTTTCTGTATAATCAGAGTTGGGCAAGTAAAATATTATCGGTATTTTACCAAGTTTTCTGCACGTGAAATAAAACAAAAAATTTACCAAGGAGGTTTTACACCGCCGTGACCGTGTGACAAGGGTCAAACATTGCCATGGTCATACCTCCCGAGGATCAAACACCGCAAGGAGTATACCTCGCGAGGGTCCGACGTTGTAACGGTTAAACAACAGAGGTAGGCAGAGGACAATCTCAAAGGTCAAAAGATAACAAGTGGCAACCGGGGAGGCAGGAAAGATAATTACTACGACCCAACGATTATGAGAGTCGAACAAAAGGAGCAGGAAGGAAAATTGTCAAGACATAATCCTCGCGAGATATAACCCTTGCAACGTTGGTCCCTTGTGAAGAATGACTGTGATGACGTTGGAATCTCACAGACAGGATCCTTGCGAGATATGACCTGTGCCACATTTAACCCTCGCGAGGAATGATCTTTGCGAGATATGACCCTCATGACGTTTGACACTTGTTAGGTATGACCCTTGCAAGGTACAACCCTCGTGAAATTCAGTCACGAGGGTTACCGCACTGATGGTCGGGTTAAGTTCTTTCCTACGAGTTATTTACCTTTTTTACCGTTTAGAGATTAAGTACCAGTATTCTACTATGTACCGTGGAAAACTCCGATTTTCAGTGAACAACCCAACCCTGTATTTAATTATCATTCGATAATGTCTCATTTAATATTTAAGGCATTTTTTCTTCGAATGCATTATTTTTCTGCATCTGGTAGAGACTGGCTGTTCTAACATGAAAAAAGAACATTACCAATACTTGGAACGGTGCTAATGATTCAAAACACATTGAGGTAATAAGTGCAATATTTTGAGGGGACGATATTCAATTACACACATTTTCTTTTAGCTTAGCAAGAATTTTTTAGTTGATCAAGAAATCCTTCTCTCAATTTTTGGAAAAGTTGTGTCCAATGGGTTCAGCAAATCACAACTATTGACGAACTTCGTGAGCTCTTTTTCATCCATAGAGGGAATTCTTTTTATTTGAATGATAATTTTTCCCATCAATATAACCTGAACATGAAGGATTATTGATATTATTTATTTTAATGGATATTTTCTTGTGCAAATTTTGGATGATCAAAACGCAGTATTTGATGACAGCTTTATTTCAAATATTTTATACTGACTTTGAAATTTTTTCGTAATATCTCGGCCATTGTTCGCAACCAATGGATAATTTTACAATAATACCAATATCACTCGTGGGTCGAAATTGATCAGTTATTTTTTTTCTCAAAGTTGTCCACATACGGAAAACGTGTAAAAGTTGATACAAAAGTTGTCGGACTGCGCACTCGGAATTTAGTTATTGTCGTACTTCACACTCATCTCCCTAAATGATGAATCTTTCAGGAAATTCTTTCAGGAAATGTCCGATGTTTCAAAAAAACTCGGCACATTATTACTGAAATAAAACATGTTATCTGAATATCCCAACTTTTTCCACTGGTTACTAGTTTCAACGTATTTTTCACGTAGCTCCAGTGAAAGAAAAATGAATGCATATAAATTCTATAATAGCTTGTGTTTAATGAGAAAAGTTCTATGTTCAATTTCATGACATGTCCAAATGCAAAAACTCGGCGATAGATATTTACAGATCGAAATCGTCCCGCTGAAACAAAAAAAAAATTACTAGATGTTTTGGTAGAGTAATTGAAAGTTACGAATAAAAATATTGGTGTTCATATTGTTTTGTTTACTTTTTTTTTACTCGAATTCCAGCCAATCATCAGGTAGTGTTTGAGGCTCTCAAACATAATTATTTCGAACATTTCGCAATACCTTATAATTTGTTTTTAAATATTTTACTGTAACGCTCCATTTGTGTTTCCTTAAACTACAATCAATAATTAATCACATAATTTCCTCAAGCTTCCCTGTATAAACAGAAAGTGTGTCCATTTGGCAGACAAATTCTACCCATTTTTTCCTGTGCCACGATGCTACCGGAAAATACCAGATAATCTTGAAGAACTTATGGTATTACTACTAAAGGTATCTTAGAAATGTCAGTGAGATAAATATATCAGGGGACCGTTTCCATCAAGGGACGCATTTGCGTCCCGTCACCAAGAACGGGTACGCTACTTAACGCCAAAGGCCAGCTGCAGTCATCGGCAACACTAAAAAAAGGACTTAGTTACGTCCCGTCGCAAATATTATTCGAGTCGCTACTGTATTTTTTTCAAATTTTTTAAAAATATGTTGACTGAGAAAATGATTTTTTCATGAATCAGATTTTGGGATTTTTGTCGATTTATTTCTCTAAACCTTCTATGCGAAGATTGTAGTGAGAAAGTTGGAACCCCTACTACTGACCATCCAATGAGCAGGGTTGGGCGAGTAAAATACCACTGGTAATCACTGGGAATAAATTCTGCCCAGGTTTCGACTTTTAAACAAATTAATTTACCGGAAACAATTAATTTACCGGAGAGGTTCTAGACTTTTTTGACTGCGGGAGGAGGCATGTCGCACATGGGAGGGTCGACCGATGATGAATAGAGAAAAAAAATAAGAAGGCTCACCCATTGTGCCTCGCGAGCGTCAAACGTAGCAAGGATCATACATTACAAGGATGAAACAACAGAGCCAGGTAGGCCAATCTCCAGGGTCAAACGACCACAGGGATCAACCAGGAGAGGCAAACAGGACAATCACAAGGGTTCAATAACCATGAGGCTTAACCAGAAGAAGCAGGCAGGAAAATACATCAGAAAACTCTCCCATTTGATCCGTTTCCTCCTTGCCTCTCCCAGTTGACACTTCAGATTGTTCTGCTTGTACTCTGTTCTATTGGGCCCTTGCGAGTTATAATCCTTGCGATGCTTGATTCTCGGAATATGACCCTGATAACATTTGACTCTCACGAGGTATGACCATTCATTTTACATTTCTGACTAGGCTTTTTGTCCATTTCTTTGTATTTTTCAACAATTCCTTCTGTTCGGTAAGAATCAAACAAAACTTTTCCTTGGCGCCGTTTTTTTTTACAAAATATTCAGAACCTCCATGTATTCAGTGCTTGCCACTTACGTTTCATGATTTCGCTACTTTTTGTAAACAGAACGCTCGAACCCGTTCTTGGCGATTTTTTTTTTTGGGGACTACTCCTCTATATCTCCACGAAACTAACGCGTTCGGCATTACCCTTGCCTGAATACGTTATGGTTAAATTATTTCTCTTGTCATGTGGACAGACAACTTACAATATTGTTATACTCCAAAACGTGTTTTCGAATTGCTGACGAGTCCATCCATGTCACAAAGTCCTCTAAATTGCTGGAAAAATTCAATAACTGAATTAAAAAATTATTAAAACAATCAGTGTGACAGAATATATGCGACAGAAGGCCTGCGAGCGGTTTCTCTGCGCCTCATTTTTTCTTTCAATTCAATTTCTATTAATTCTATTAGTAACAAGCTTTCCAATAGATCCCAAGCTACTTTTTCGTATAGTGTAGAGCGGAGAAAAATGATACTAGGAAGTACATATAAAAACATCTTTTATCTATTCATTCTACATCTTCCATCATTTTATTAATTTCTTTACTTAATTTTCCTTCCGAGTGGAAGCATTGTAATCGTCCCATCTTCATATTTTCTAATTTTTACTGGAAATGATGTAGCATGATTTCGAACGTAAAAATACGAAGTCTAGCGAGCATGTCTGTATGTGAACATATCCACAACCACCTTCTTGATGGTCAATTTTTAGAAAATTGAATAATTAAGTGGTTAAAGTAATTCCAAAACGTCTTCCGTCTACTGGAAGATATTCAACCTTTTAATGAAATAGATTTATACAAAAAGCTCAATAGCTCCGAAACTGCTCGGCTGATTGAACCCATCCAAAATACCAATCTTCATTTTGTAAAAGCTCTAATCATACCAAATTTCCACTTCTTTCCGCTATTTCCAATTTTTCTCAAAATATCTTGCATACAAAAATGAAACAAGCAGGGGACCGAGCCTTTCGATCAGAAGGCATGTAACCGTTACTTGATGCATTATTTATCTATTTCAATTTTTATTTCTACCAATTCCATTGGTAGTAAGCTTCCGAATGGATTCGTAGAAATTTTATCTTTTAATTGAAAAACAAAAATGATTTTTTCTTGAAAAAATCTGATTCTTGAAACGTTTGACTTTCTAAAATTGAGAATTAAATTTCGAGTTTACCCTGTGGGAAAGGCATATCAACACGACTGCATTTTTAAGAAATGTTTCCATGCGAAAATCGATGATGGAATAACGATATGTCCTTTTATGCGAAAAACGTTTTTTACTTCAACTGGTCTATTTAAAAAAGTATTGAATCGATCAACCTCAAATTTTACACAGGAATGCCACTCGATGATACTAACTAGTCCTTAACATTTTAAAACTTTAACACGCCCTTCACTCATGTAATGACAAACAAAAATAGAAAAACGCCAATATCTCGTAAACTTTGTAGGAACGGGTATATGAGGTATTCCACGCCGAATGAGTCAATCGCTGACCCTTACCCTCTTGGAAATTGATGGCGATTTTTTAAACGTTTGGGGGGGGGGGGGGGGAAA